GGTATTAATTACCCTTTCACACTTATTTGAGACTGGAAATAAATTATGCAAATCTTGTGTTCCAATATCATCATATCAATGCAAGTCGCTGAATACTGTAAGACTCTAAATCAAGAAATCTTAAAAAAATAGGGCATCAAAATAAAATCTATTTATTATGTGGGAAAGTTTTCTAAAAGTGTTTTGAAGCTCTTTAATCCAGCTCTGAAATAATTTGGTAGATTACTATTGTACAAAACCCATAATTTATAGCAGATGACCTAAGCTGCTCTTTGTATAACAGCCATATATGAAACAATAGCAGGAAAGTGAAAAATACAAGGGGAACTAAAACTGCTCTGTTTATGATTTAGCTCATAATTACATCTTCCTTATTTAATCTTTTGAATCCTGGCATGTTCTTAATAATACAGGTTCAATTTATATTTACTATACACAGGAGAGTTAGTTTTGAGTAACGCATTTACACTATCCAAACTTTGTGTAACTTGTGACCTTTCCCTAACCTAAGTGAGGTCTATTTTATACAGATCATACCAGATAGACGGTTTCTCTATAAATGGTGAAGTTGCTGCCAAGCTCCCATTGTTAGCTCGTTCATTTTTCAACAGGCACACTTTAGGTTCCTATCACACCACTGTAAAGAGCAAGCCCTTTAGGTTTCTTCTTTTGTCAATGCAATAAAAAGGCTATTTCTGAATAACCTGCCAATCCACAACAAATGGCCCTTTGTGACTTAAAATAACATGATAGGAATTTTTTTTTGTTGCTTTTGCAGGCAGCCTCCTATTTTAGTCAATAATATTGAATTAATACTTTAGCAGCATTTGTCTACATGTAATTAATCTCATCCTTGAAATAACAAGTGCAAGTTTTTAACAACAGTTACTCTTGCTCAGTATTCACCATCTAAATGCAGAATATCTCTCAGAAGAAGCTATCTAAATAGTAAGACTACATCAGACAAAGCAAAAGGAAGAATCCAGTTCAATTCTTTGTACTTTTTGTTGACCCCTGAGGAGCGGTAATCAACTCTGGTAAAAAAGAACAACCTGTGTGATGTACAACCTTTTGCCAGATCGACTGTGGTGTGAAAACAGAGAGATAGCCATCTCTTCTGTTCTGAGCCAAGTAGATTTTGGCACAGAAGGAAAGCTAAATCCTTGACTTCAACAGACCTGCTTGCAGAAGTGCTGCACAAACAAGGCATGAACTTGCAGAAGGCAAACCTCCTTAATGAAAGAGACTGCTGTAACAGCTAAATTCCTAATAGTGTCCCTGCCTATTTCCTAGTAGCACAGACGCATGCCTAACTTCGTCCTTTGTACAAGTCTACTCTCAGCACAGGAGTGAGGGATTATTCTGCACTAGTGGTCTGCTTGGTGAACACTCCCAACCTGTGGGAATGACTATGTTTCACATGAAGAGAATGAAGAAGAGCATCACCACCACATGAAAATCTGAGAACAGTATCCCTGGAATCTAAAGCTGCTATTATAATGAGAGTAAGAGCAAAATTGCTTGAGATGGTTGATCAATCCAAATGCATATGGAACTGGAAACAGCACTCTTCAGATGTAGTAACAGAAAGAGAAGCGGGCAGTAGAAAACAGGACAAACTTTTCAAATGAGCAAATGGGAGGATACAGAATAAATAAAAGTGAAATGGTTAAAAAAAGATGGAAAATTAAAAGGCGAGGATTTAAAGGCAAATGGAAAGAGGCATGAATAGTTTTCTGTAGTAGTCTAGATGCTGGAGAAATCCAAAAGCAAATACCATGAATAAGCAAATATAACAAAATATGAAGAAAATTATTCATGAACTACCAGTACTAGTAGAGAACTGAAGTAAGAACAGTAAAAAATTTGGTCCTTTTTCTTCAGCTTTAGATCAGAAGTTTTATTCTACTCTGAGCTGTCTTTAGGGAGAGATTATTAAACTCGTACTAATAATGTGTCCCCAGAATACAGGAATGGTAAAAATACATGTTTTCTTCTTATATTAGAGTGTGTGACCCACCATTGTGCTGTTCCTCCTATATAAGGAAGCTTCACCTCCCTGTTCAACACAATTAGATCAGTTCCTAAACCTCAGAACAGGCCTTATTACAGTGCTTGTAAGAGCAGATGCTTGGCATGTCTATATATGCCAGTGAGAACATCATTCAGTTTTATGCACACTTCTGTTTTCTATCTTGGCATAATTCATTAGTACACTCTGTAGAATACTCCATAAAACTGAATTTGGCTTTAATGCTAAGGTTCTAATGACTACAGCATTGTTTAAGAAAACAAAACCAACAAAACCCCACAAACAGCAGTCTCCTCTTTAATATGAAAGTTGATGTTTACATCTGATAAACAGAGAAAATACCCAGATGTGGGTTTTTTTTCAGTATACAAGTAACAATAACAAAGCAGTCTTAATTTTTTAATGTTTTGCTTTCAGCATCTAAAATAGTGACACAGCATAGTTTTTGTGGTGGCAAAGCTTTTTTCTTTTTTAGAATGTAATGAAATTAGTACAGTATGTACACTTTTGTGGCTTATTTCATCCTCACTCTATACAAAGATTCTTAACATAGACAATACATGAAGATGAGATCAAAACTTTGATTAAAGACAGCTGTACTGCTTTCTGACCTGTTACATCACAGCATTAGGTAGAGGAATAAATAAACAAATAGAAATCTAACCTGATTTATCTGTGTGTCTCCACATAAATTTGTTTAATGTAAAAACAAATAAAGCAAAGCTTTGTTGGAGGCAGAATTTTCAACATCTGTGCAGATAAATTTAATTTATTCAGAAAGAAAGAGCAGCATTAGTGCATCATGTAAAAGCTGATTTAAATGATTTCATACAACAGAAAGCATATGTAGTAGCTAAAACAAATTCAGTTTGCCTTTAAAACCATTTCACTCAGACAACCATTACTTCTGATTTTTTCTACTACAATGACGTTAATTTTTTTCTTCCTTTTTCTTCTTTTCTTGATTTTACACATTCAATCAACCTAAACCACAGTTGAAAGTCACAGAGGCAGCAACATCCTAAATGCAGCTTCTGGCATCAGGCAGGCACACTTCAGACTGCTTCTGCATATCTTTATGGGCAGAACCTTAAAGCTGGTCAGGTAAACCTTATATAGTTGAACATAAATGAATTACGGGTGTTTGAATATTTTTTAAAATCTTTTTACCATAAGACATTCAAACCCAGGAAAATATCTCAATAAAAGAATAATTCACTGTAGTGGAGCTACAGTAGCTTGTCTCTGCAGCAAGGGATAGAGTAGTGGGAAGACTAAAGATATTTTTTCCTGAAAATTAAAGATTAGTCAAAACGATAAATTCCTGTCTGAAACTTATTAAAAAGTGCTAAAGTGAGAACTAAAAATTCAAAATCAAAATGCTATGTATGCATCTGAAAACTATAGCTGAAAAATTCCTGAATAGGATTAGTATCTTTTTAACTCAAGGCAAAACAGTAAAATGTCTGCACGTGATTTTTGAAATCACACAGATGCACAAAGGATCACCTCAAATGAAAAAAAGGTGATGAATATGCAGTGTAATGTTTTAAAGACCCTTTCCTTCTGGAAAAGGTTATCTACTTGTTCTTTAGGGAGACTGTTATCATACCTTTAATTCTACAACAGAATTTTTACCTCTGCTTCTCTGAAAATCTGAACATGGTGAGCATACATGCAAAACTCTCACTGACTTGTTAAAATATTTTGTCCTTTCTTGAATACCAGTCAGCAAAGAAAAGGCTATTGAAGTGTGTCAAGCCCAATAAACTGTTGTCATTAAAAACATCTAACTGAGGCCCAATTCTGAGGCCCAATCCTGCCCCTCTGAGTGGCAATGTGGATGGAAACAGAATGAGATTGAACTCTGCAAAACTTCAAGAAAGGCTAAAACTCACCTCAACATGCCTCTGATCTTCATGGTTCCAACAAGAGAAAAACAAGGCTCTGACAAGAAAACAAGTATGCAGGAAACTTCTGTCCATTTGTGTGCTTTATTGCCTTATGCAACTGTATGAAGCACTGTTTTATCTGTTTTTTTAATCCCCTTCTTGAACACCAGGATGGTAATCTTCTTCAGAAATAACCCACATAGAGAACTCCTGCACATTGTTCTTTCGGACTTTGGCATGCCATAAAATTGCATGCTATGGTACCTATGGGGGTCAAGACAGATTCCTTCCTTAAATTCAGTTAAGAGAAAAATTCCTAAGTATGGATTCCCGAGGGGTGGGGGAGAGGAAAAGACATAACACAAGTCATTCTCAAGTCATTAAAATACTTAAACCCCCCACAAAACCAACCCTAAACTTAACAGGCTTATATACATAAAATCTGTGCCCTTCACTTTCACCCCTTCCTAAAAATCCCCTAACTTAGATTATTTTTTAACTGTTTACTTGGGATATTACTGTTGATTTTGGCAATCAGATAGTGATGAAAGACATATGCCAATTATTCTCTCAAAATCTGGCTATTTAGTGTAACAGCCATGATCCTCTCTTACCACTTGGGCTTTGTGAGCTTTGCATTACATTGTTTTGAGCCCCCAAACAACAGTCTTTACCAAATCCCCACATCACTGTAGGTGTTTCAGTCACATCACTAGCACTGAATAAACTTGCAAGTGAAACTATTAAAACCCACTTAATTTTAAAGGTGACTCTGTAACAGGGATAAGAACTGAAAGCTGTACCTTTCAGCCTCTGCATTTTTGTCTTTGTTTAGAATGGTAGAAGAAGCCATCCGGAAGGAAGAAAGATTAAGAGTATCTAGAAACTAGCTGTTTGACAGAGACAAAACTGCTGATAACGAATGGGTTGTGTCTGTCTTTTTTTGGCTGATCACAACAGAGGTCTGAAGCAAAACAGAAAGTCTTGATACGTTTGTGTAAAGAGGCAATAGCATAAGGGCGGGCAGCAGGAGTTCAGCTGAAGTTCAGGGCAGATGCTGCCATTAGTTTACTCCACAGGAAAGTAAAATTGCTTCCGGATTTACCTCTTCCTCCCAACATCAGTGCTGAGCCATGCTGTGTCGCAGAGTCACAATGTCAGTAGGAAAGCAGTCTTTTAGCAGGATACCACGTTCACGATGGCAGTCCAGCTCTTCAATAAATCCATACCAGTAGATGACTAATCCAGGGCCAAATCTATCAAGCAAAAAAAGGAAAATGAACTATGTGACTATATTATGGGAAATTTAATTTCCCACCTCTGTGATTCCAACACAAGTAGATCTGTTAATTTCACTGCAAAATTGAAGAGCATTTAACCTCCATTCAATTTTCAAATTTTGATCAATGTTGATTTGATAGACATCATTAATTAGTGATTCCGTGAATAAAAATGCTATTTAGAGACTCAAACAATCCACATCAGGTATTTTTTTCTTTGAATACTCTGCACATATAAATAAAAAAATACATACGTCTTAAATATTAAGTAACATTCAGTAACTTGGACACATACAGAAATCTTTCTTGCCATGCGCTATGGTTTTTCAGATTTGAGTGTGCAGGTATTAAAACCACAAACAAATTATAATACCATGAAGATAACAATAAACCCTTAAAATACAATCTCCATAATAAGTTATTTTTCAGGTACTTAGTAAGGTAAAGCACAATTCAGAAGAAACAGAAAGTTCGTGCTGTAACGTCTCTGAAATGTGCCTCAGGAATTCCTCGGATATTGCTAACTCTGACTGATCCCCACTAGGCAATCTCAGGAAGTAGCCCCATGGACTATTTTACCCATCAGGAAGTTCAGACCTTCAGGCTGGGTTCATAAAGAAGTAATCACTATCAATCACTGTGTACTGCGATATGTTTTGCACATCAGTTTCACGTTTTTCCTACTGAGAGCACTTAATTAAAGGGCAGCACTACTTTTGGTGTAGTGTTGCAGGAATTTTACAGTGAAATCATAAATTATGAATGTTGGGTTAGTAAAAGGATGTCTAAAAACAGAACTGCTTTCTGTAGTCTAACATTACAGCAGTCTGTACAACATTAGGCCAAAAAGCTTTTTCTTTCCTTGATTTATTATATGCTGTAGTGAACTTGCCAAAACTAACAGTGCAGGATGAGCTGTTAGATACCGTCTGTACAAGAAAAAGTTCAATACAATGTCATGTAATGGTTTATATGCAGAGCCATGCTCAGGACTCAACCAATATGGTAGCCAATTATGTTAACGTTTAATTATAATAAAAATGTGCTGAGAGGCACAGTGACCTAAATGAGCAGACAATACAAGCAGTCAAAGCCATAGATAGTGCCAGACTGGCTTCATGAAGGTGGTTTCTTTCCAACAATATGGAGAAAACTATTTGATGTGCTCATGTAATGAAATAGGCATCAAAGGAAGGAGAAACCCCTGTGGTTTCCTCCTGCAGTTTCAATTAGATACGGTAGTCTTTTGCCTGAAACTACTGCAGAGTGTTGCAACATTTTGGTCTACAGCTACTACTCTTCAACTTCCAAGTGGCCCCAGTTCAGTGGCAGAGTAAACTATCCCTCAGCATAGCTGGGGCCACACTGGCAAATGTGCTTTTTGAAACTGAAAGATGATACTTGAAAGTTGTAAGGTTAAAACTTTGACAAATCTGGCTATACTAGATAACATATCCTAACATGATTGGCAATGAAAACAGCACCGACTAAAAAGTGGCTCATACGGAAGGACATTGCTGCCTACACCCAATTTCTAAGTTTTCTCTATCTGGCCAACAACTTCAGCCTTTACTGTCTGTAAGGACATGTCTGTATTTTCCTTTGCTTAAGTTCACATGGGGCCAAGACATGCAGAACCTCACTGTACCACAGAGGCCAGACAGCCTAGCAGGAGCGAGGGGCCAACGGCAAGGGAAGCCACAGACTGATGCTCCTGGCCGCTGGTGAGAGACAGCTGATGTGGGCTGGACCCCAACTTCTGTTATTTCACAGACTATGTATCTATTCCCACATCAAGAATACACAAAAATGGAATAATTGGGTGAGGATGTACTTTTGTACTAACCAAAGTTATTTTAAAAGCAAAAATCCCCAGAAGATAGGGTACCTTATATTTATAATGGGCTATTTTATGCAAGGCAGAAGCTATGAAATGTATGTAAGTAGTTACTCATTACGAGCACATGTGCCAGGTAAAATCCTGATGCTAATGAGCAGCTGCTCACCCAAGTTTTGAAGGGTTCATTTTGCTGTCTGGCTGTTTGAATCCCCCATCCACTGCAAAATACATGTGGCACTGTGCTTAAGTAATTTGTTATTTTTTGAAACTGTAATTTTAAACATTACTATTTCAAGACACTTCAAAAGGCTAATTTGTGTCTTTCTAGCAAATCATCTCAGCTCAAGCACAATTTTTGAGGCACTCAAAAAATTATGTTCAGAAATGCCAAATTTGATAATAAAATTTATATACAAGAACATCTGCAGACATTAATGGCAGAAGCAAGTACATCTTTAGCATGAAAACATCAGTCTATCCTGTGTGTTTGACTGTGGTGTTATAGTGAAACTGCCTAGTGCTGCCTAGGTCACACCTTTTCAACTCTTCTGTGTCATTTCTTCTATTATAGCTCTATATGTATGATCACATAAAAAACATGCCATACTTTTGTTTAAAAATACTTAAGTGCAGTACTTAAGACCAGAATTAACTTTTTGGCATATTAAGCATTTGCCACTATCAGGAACTCCTGTTGCTAAGTGCTAATTTCTCTCTCATTAGCACCCAAAGTTGGCAAATCACAACGTCTCTGGTTAATTACTGCGGCCTTAATTTGAAAAGACACTTAACCTTTTCGTGTGAGGGGATGAGGTAGGGAAGTGTAATCTACAAGTAAGAACTATCCTTTTTTAATTTGTCTCCTTCCAAAGTGCAGGTATCGCACCATGAAGAATGGAAGTCAGTGCTGTGAATTACAAGGTAAAGCTACAAATTGATTTCTACATCAACTGTAACATTTAACAAGTTAGTGACTAACCGCAGTTTACACAGGTGAATGAACTAAAATGACAGAATGCTTACGCAGTGCAGTTTACACAGGAGAACGAACTAAAATGACAGAATGCTTACGCAGTATTGCTGTGGAAAGGGGATGCATTCAGTAGGTCCAAGGAGAAAAGAAAAATGGTTATAAGACTACATAGATGCAAGATAGGCCAGGTTATCTCATTTCATAAGAAAGAACCATTGGAGAAATTTTAAGCATAAAACAAAAATCACCTTACAATGTAACAAACTACTGAACTCCTATGGATTTCCTTCTTGCTCAGAAAAATTGTATAAATCCCTAAAAATGTGCTTAACTTATATTTTCCCTCCTGTCTTTAGTTCTTAGACTGAAAAGCTTAGGTGTGAAGGAACATATCCAGAAGTTATACAAAAGTGTAGTTTTAGCTATTCCAGTGAAACTATTGCTTTTAGAACTTTACTTTTATAAGGAGTTTCTTTTTAAAGCTGATAAGCAATCCAAGTAACTAAGGTTTGGTTAATTCTATGCACTAAAAATAGAACAAACAGGAAATATAGAGGCAAGCTTCCTTCAGAACATAATAAACACAGCAAGAGAAATTTGTCCACAAAGACCGCATCAGTTTACTTAAAAATCAACCAATAAATATGTAGTTACCATTACGTAAATCCTGGTTTAGTCATTGTATAGTTTTGACATTCAAAGGTAGCCAAAGTCAACTCAGCTGCACTTGGGGTCTGAGTGCCAAAAGTGCCCAAAGGGAGGCAGGCAGGCTTATGACCCCAAGGCATGGCAAGATGTGAACAGGATTACAAAAGTTTGTGGATTAGGTTAGGCATAATTTAGGTTTGATATAGAAGACTAAATTTAGTCCAAGCACTAAAGGCAGCAGATGGCCTATTTCAAAAAATCAACTGAAGCATTTGAGGTAGATAGTATAGTTTATGTATAATTAGATACAATTGCAGGTTCAACAAGTTCTTCAGATAAAACTTACATCTGACCATAGTATTTACTCTAAATAAGTCAGGTTTGCACTCATTTCAGACTGTTCAGAGCATGTTTTGTACCAGTTCAATGATACAAATGCTGAAAGAAACCCATAGTTAAGGAAGTATGCTGATAATCCTGGGACACTGAGTTTGGTCTTAGAAAGGAGTTTCACAGAGATATGTTGAAAAACCAGGAAGGTAAATTCAGATAACCCAAAGCAAAATGGTTCTTTGTCTTAAAGAAACCCTAATAACAACAAACCAAAGATGGGGTCATTTAAAAAAAAAGGGAAAGAAAAAACCTAAGTAAAATGTGAATCTGGGTTTAACTTGCCCTCCAGCTGAACTAGTTTTGTGCTAGAAAAGAAAAAGAGACTTTTATTTATTTATCAAAGTGGCCCAGTAGGCTCACACATATTCTACTTCACTTCAAGAGAAACTACTTTCTAGTAATGTCTTTTCTTCTGGAATGTCTGTGTGGGGTCCATACTAGCTTCTAACGATTTGCCTAGACATGTGGCTGTTGTGAGGGGATTTTTTCACCATCAAAAAGCCTTGCATGTGGTTTTATGAAAAATGCTTTTCAACACACTGCTTGATACTGAACAGAAATGTAAAACAACTTGCAATTGTTTTCAAATAAATGTTCACTTCATTTATTCTTAGTCTATTTGTTATAGATGGGTTGTATGCATCTCAGCATAATGTAAATAATTTTCAATCCAAGAGACTCTCATAATGAAATGCTGGCATATGAATTATTATTGCTAATACGCATGCATTTAAGCCAATATTTTATCAAACAGATTCAGCCGAGTATTAATGTTACGAAGGCTTAACAGTCTACTTGGTTGGTAATTTTAATTATGAAGGTCACACCTGAGTGTGTCTTTGAAGGACTGCATTCTGATTCCTCACTTTTCAATGTCAGATCATCAACAGTGTCAGCTAAAAAGCTGGCTTTGTTTTCTAGTTTTTAAATATCAGGCACATCAAAGCTTTTCCAGCACACCACTACTTATTTCCTGGAAAAGGGGAATTACAAAAGTTCACAAATGAACTATTACATTCTAAGTCAACTTAACATCGTTCTTCATAATCACAGTTCTGAGCAAATGGGTTTTACTCATAGTACTAACAGACCCTGAGGATAACATAATTAACTCCTCCTGTA